TTAAGTTTTAGTTTGTTTAGTTAGTTGGGATTGAATTCTGGGGGCTGTGTGATTGGTCAAAAGGTTGCGAAAAGATGATATACATACATATGTACAACATTTGCTTTTCACCTGTGTTTGCCGCATAAAATACAACGAAACGGGGATATGCATTATTTTATTAAAGTGTTTATGATGAATTAGAAAAAATCGTGTATTGCTTTGTGGAGCGATTTAGCGAAAAAATTGGTTCTATTATAAAAAATTATACGTTTCATGTTCCAGAATTAAGCTAAAATGTTTAAACTTTAAATCTATTTCTCAATTGTTTGTTTCAAGTCTCTCAACCAATCGCATAGCTAATTTCTTCTGAAAAATCTGATTGAACATAAATTGTATACATACATAATAATTTCGTTTGTATATACGTAAATATGCAAAGATGTTTACCATTTAAATCGTAAATAATTATCTTAACTTAACAAAGTAGTTATGTTTCAGTAATGAATCAATGTGTTGTTTTCTTTCTTTTTTTTACTTGATAATGCACATAAATTCTTCTGTGATTTGCTGATGACTACAGCACCATTCCAGACGGGTTTGATGTGCTCGTGTTACATTAAATAAAATATCTGATTATACTATTACTGCGTGCTATTATTTTGCTCTACACATCGTCACCAGCTGAAATGCTAAAAGCCGTAACTAACAATTTTTTTTTTATATATATGTAAAATGATGTGGGGACTTGTAATTCGTTGAAATGCATCAATTAAGTCAAAAAATGAATTTTGGATTTTTTGTTAGTTACGGCTTTCCACATTTCAAGGACGATATGCATGTAAAACTAAAAATTTATATCAACGCTATCTGTATGTATGTACATACGTGTGCATGTACTTGAAATTTGTAAACTGACTTATGTACTTATATATGTATGCACATACGTACACCTTTTGCATAAACAAATTCTAAGAGCAATTGTTACTACAGGCATAAACGTTTATAAAAAAAAAACGAAAATAAATATACATATGTAAATTGAAATATATATTTGCATATATATGCATATATGCAGAGATTTTTAAGCGAACTTTATCTACTCGTATGTGTATTTAATATAAAGGAAAATACTTTAAAGTATATCTAGCTGCATAAAAAAAAAATTAATAAAATAAAAATATATGTTAGTTAAATATTGTATTAATCAAATAAACGCATAGAAACCAAGTCTACGGATAAAAGTTATATACCTTTCCTTTTTGGTGGTTTTTGTTTCGGTCGGGTTGGGTGTTTGATGTACATATTTTGGAACGAATTTCCGTCCTCCCTTGTCATATTTAGTTTAGAGATAAACCGGTTTCTGCGTTGTGCCATCTTCAATGTATTTTTTTCCGTGCGTTTCGTTTTTTCCTTGCTAGAATGTGGGGCTGGTATCAGTGATGGAAAAGTAGGCACAATAGTGCCATTTTTGGCACTTTCAAACTCAGAGGCACTTTTGACTCAATTCATCCTGTTTTGGCACAATCATAAAACATACATAAAAATTTAGCATAAAATGCCAATATATAACAAAAAATCACATATCACATTATAGATTAAAAAATTACAAAATGTGAAAATTAAAAATAACGGCCGTGAGAAATATTTACAAAACGCTTAATTCTTTTGTGAATACGCGGTACGAAAAGTAAATTTTCACAAAAACAAGCTTTTAATTTCGAATTTTGAGAATGTTTCTAAGTTTGCAATTTTATAATCCATTAAATAAAAGAGCAAGTTTCTGTAGTATCCCGTTGATTTTTGATATTTTATTTCTGACTGAATTTCAAACACACTTTATATGGAAAAATGCATAAAATCGAAAACTTGGAATCTACCCAAAAATTCTGAATTGAAAGTTTGTGGTTCGCATATATATAGGTACATATATATGTGTGTAAATATGTCAGAATAGCTATATTTCGTGTATTTCCCCTCCGTAATCGGAATTCTATGTAATTTTCTATGAATTTATATATATGTCTAAAGAATCCTTCATAAAAGTGCTTTAGTGTAATGATTTAGTTAATTAATAATTATTATATTACTTCAGTGTATTTTAAAAATATTATTTCTAAAATATATTGTTCTTAAAACGCCTTAAAAGAAATTTAATTTTGTTGCACTTTCATATTCCTTTCGGCACTATTTTTGAAGACCATTAGGCTCATTTTGAAATTTTCAATCATGATAAAAAAATAGGAAGGTAGAACCGCTGAGAGGCATTTTTCAAATTCTTGACGTTTGCAAGCAATTTAATTTTAATATTTTAGTCACAAATACATCACGTTTTATTTCAAATATGTGTAACCCTGATATTTACCGTTTGACAATTTGCGTCGAAGTTTGTGCTTTTTTCTGCGTCTTTGAGTTTTTTTTTTAATCATTAAAAATTTAAGTCCGCTGTTTTTGATTGCCAAAATTACACTGAAAAAGGTAATTTAGGTTTTACCGTATGTCTAAAGATGAATTGCAATTTCAGTAGCGAAATTTTGGCAATGTTATGAACGCTTTTTATTTAAAAATACGCGAGTGCATTCTACTCACTTTCAAGAATAAAATCACCAGCAAATAATGTCATAAATCTAGTTTCACGTGAAGTTATAACATTTTATGTTGTTATAATAAGTTTTGCCACGATTTTATAACAAAAATGCTCATTTGATTAGGATTCCTAAAATATGCTATACGGCAACTATATTTTCTGCGTTTTGTGAACTCCCCTTCTTCGTAAAATATTTCAGCCAATCAGAACTCACTTCGTAACTACGTCATTGGAGGAAAACAAATTTTTGACAGCACCATGTCGTTACCTTCTATGCTGTGAACCTTGCTGCGTACTAATGGTAGCGATGTGGATCATGAAGAAACATCGATATATCGATACTTCAACCACTTATGCATCGATTAGAAAAATGTCTATGGCGCATATTCATAGTCATATTTAGTACTCAACTAAGTGGAAACTATTCTAAGTCACAACTAAAGCTATTCATAGTAGCCTTAGTTTTGACTTTTCTGGCTAAGTACCAACTTAAAACTTAGTTTCGGCTGCAGCTGCAACTAAGTCGTTACTAGGAAGAAGTATTTTATCAAATTAAGGGAGAGGGTGATTTTGATAATATTGAATAATCTCCAATTGAAATTTACAATGAACGATCCATTTTAATCGGAAGATGAAATTAAATGCGTATTACAATCCGAATAAAGCTACATCACAATTTTACAATTGGAATAATTTAGATAAATTCTCAAATAATAAGTCAGTTTGACGCTAGTTCTTTTAAAGTAAATTTATGCATAACATTTAGATATCTACTATTTGTATGTTTCACAGCATGCTTTCGATAAACATCGACTTCACATCACTGCGGTTGTTCTGGCTATTTCACACAATTAACAAGAAAATGATACCTTATCCTTTTGCATAATCATGCAATGAAAATAAAAATTACATAAACGGATGATCAAACTTGACATTATTTAATAAAAATGTAATTTTTCTAAAATATCGTAAAGAAAAATCGATACATTTTCACACTCGTTTTGCTATATCGCAAACTAAGTCGAAACTACTTAGTAGAAGTCTGAAATGCGACTATGAATAGAGGTAAATTTTAAGTTGGTACTTAAATTTAAGTTGCAACTTTGTTAGTTTCGACTTAGTTGCTGGACTATGAATACGCGCCTATGCATCGAAGCATAAAATCAATATATTGGATGCATCGATATTTTTTAGACATCTCTATTTGACTGTGAAAACAAAAGTGTTCCGGCATATCGCGAACACGGAAACTATCTCAAATAAACAAACTAGCAGCTTGGGGAATCACCGTAGTTCTAAATTTGGCGGAGTTTTCGGACATTTAAAATTTTAGGCGAATATGGTTGGCAAGTCCTCGGTTTCGGCACTAGAGGAGTATTGTGCTAAAAATAAATTACCGAAACCGCACTACGAATATATTGACGAGGACGACGGTAGTTTTGCCTGCCAGGTAATCCTTTCGCATGCTTAAAATCCATACCTATTGTGATTTACTGAGAAATATGTACTAACGAAAGACACGACATCGCATTTATCTAATATAGATTACTGTTATGGACACGGAAGCAGAGGGTAGAGGCCGTTCTAAACGTGATGCAAAACATCAGGCTGCATTTGCGGTCATCAAACGCTTGCGGCTTACCGACATGCCAGATCTCGTCGATGATTCTGATGTTGGCATACCAACTACGGACGTCGTAGTTCAATTGCGTGATTATTGTGTACAACATCAAATGCCCCTTCCAACATTCGAAATTGTACAACAGGCTGGCACACCAGACGCACCTGAATTCACAGCGTTATGTGCAGTAGCTTCTATACGTCGCTATGGTGTTTCGGAGAAGAAGAAGGATGCGCGGCAAAAGGCTGCTTATGAAATGTTGCGTATAATTGTTGATGTAAGTCGCTTAGAGGCCAAAGTAGAAAAAATACGATCAGGTAAAACATACTTTTTTATTCGCAGGATGTTAACAAATTGGATTATCAGATGCAAGTAGCTACGCTTCAAAGTGCACAAGAAGATCTTGAAGTAGAACGATACAAAAAGTTTAAAACTTATCGTGAAATGACTGAATCCACTACCGGTGAAATGCCGGGTGTTTTACTTTGTGATCGGCATAATTATTTCAAACAATTCTATAGTGAATTGAAGAATGCAGCATATAAAATACTTTCAAGTGATGCTTATGAATCAGAGCAGGAAAAGGCATTGGATGTGTTGGAAGCGTTAAAAATCAAACCGAAAATTACTAAAATGCCAACAGAAAAAGCAGAGCCTTTATTATTCATCGAGTTGAACTGTGATTTTGATGTTGTATTTGCTGGACCGCCGAGCAAAGTGTACCAAGATATTGTGGGTTACTTCAAAGTGATGCTCTAAAGAGTATAATCGCTTTGAGCTTATAACTATTTAAATTTTTTATTGGTTAAAAAATAACCATTGGCTTAAAGAACGCTTATTGTACAATTTATTAAAATAAGAAACTGAATTTTTCTCTGAATATGTGTATTAAAAGTACTGAAATTGGTTTGAAATCAAATTGTTTCTGTTTTAAGGTCGTCTTTTACTAACTAGCTTTACTAACAACTAAAACATGTGTTTATTGTTCACTTAATTTTAATTCTAATATTTCCCGTCCCACACCATCCGTGCTTGTCCAGACCACATTGCTCTGAAAGCGTTTATCATTTGCAATCAAGGTTTCAAATTGTCTTAGTCCACCCCCAACTCCAAAATAGTATGTTTTTGCCGCGACTAAAACTACTCCATCTGGCTTTAGTTTTACATAAAATGTATCTAAGAGTTTTTGCTGATTTTTTGGATTGTAAATAGTCTCTGATGCTAATATATAATCAAATTTATCACTTTTGCACTCTACACTTTCAGAAGTCAACTCCGAGTATTTGGACCAATCGCCCGAATAAAATTCTACATTTTTTCCTAAGTCATCAGTATTAACTAGGTCAACTTTTGACTCAGTCGCATCCTCCGAGTTGGAATTGTCTTTTGCTGGTTTCACGTCAACTACATTTAGGAGCACATTTGGTATTGTAATTTGTGTCAGCACATCTTTATTCTGTTGAGACGCAAGGTAATTTATTAAATATGTATTAGCTAAATTATATTTCATTTCTACTCACATAATCCTGAAAATGCACAATAGCGCCACATCTGTATGCATAAATGCCGAGCAAACCTGCACCACAGCCTAGGTCCAACACTCTTTTGCCGCGCCATGATTGTGGTTTAAAATTTTTCGCCAAGTACTTGAGAAGATCTTCAGTGCATTCCCAGATTTTTGCACCTCCTATAGAATTTATGTAAATGTATGTATGTACATATACATTTAACATATTTTATTGGACGAGTGTATATTACCTTCGTAAACTCCTGGTATAAGATCAGAGTGCGTTTGCTCGGCTTTCGAAATATCTTTATTATCCCCGCTGTTGCTGGTGATGTGTTGTAATAGGAATCCCGTCACTACATGATGTATGGGCAAGTCACCAACATTCAAGGTGGTTGCATTTAACTTGTATACATCCAAGTTTTCTAAAATTTCTGAACTTATGACTACTTTCTCCGCGGTGTACCACTCCTCGGGTCCATCCTTTCCTACGTTTTCACTGGACATACAAATTTAAATAAAGTTATGAAAAGATTTGAAAGTTTACCTTGTCTGATCTGAACCACTTTCTTTAATGTTAACGCTGAAAGGATTTTCGTTGTCAATTTCTACATTAAATGCAAACTTAAACATTTTGTAAACAAACTAGTAAAAGTTGTACTAACAAGCATTTATCACAAGAGCTGCTTTATTTTCCCAATTTGTAAACAAATCCACCTGGCTGCTGCCAGAACAGCACGTGCGCTTAGCCTTGCCACTCGGAACAATGTGAAAGTGATTTCGAAGGGGAATTTATACAAGGTGGTGTTCGAAAGACGCGCGCGAAAAGTTGAGAGTTGGCCATCTTTCAGCATTGTGTTGGCGATGACGTTGCCCGACTTTGGTTATGTGGAGACTTTCATATAAATGCATGTATTCATAGTCAGCTGTCGAAGCGACGCCAACGCAACGCCAAAGTTGTATGTAAACGGGCCTTTACTGGCGAATTTCGATTACAACAACGACAACCACACGTATTTTGTAGTGCGGTGGTATGTCGCTGCAAAGTTTACATGTATTTTGTTTTTGCTTTTGATGGGTGTGCTCAAGGCGAATTTATACAAGGTGGTGTTACTTGCGAATTTAGATTTTCGTCGCGGTACTACTGAATGTCAAAATGATGTGTTTGTTGTAAACAAGGCGAATTCATATTATAACAAACACGTCATTTTTACACTCAGTAGTACCGCGGCGAAAATCTAAATTCGCCAGTAATACCACCTTGTATAAATTCGCCTTGGGTGTGCTGTCAAATCAGTAAAAGCAAAAACAAAATACATGTAAGGCCAAGGCGAATTTATATAAGGTGGTGTTACCAGCTCAGCTGATTTTGTGTATGTGTTTCGCCGCACGGCTTCTGATATCAAATTGAAAAATTTTGTTTGAATTTCTACACACACTTACAGATTTAGACAGTTTATGCCGCCAAAGCAAAAACAAAATACATGTAAATTTTTGTTTTTGTACTCCTATCACCATATATTAATTCGCCTTGTAAGGCGAATAAATCAGCTGATTTTACAACACCACCTTGTATAAATTCGCCTTGGTGATTTCCAAAAGAAACTACTTGGATTTGCTGTTTTATACCAGAAGTTGGCGATTTATGGATTAATTCCATTACTGCCATACCAATGATTCAATAATACAACGATAAACTGACAGTTGTCTCTCTCGCACCGCTCCCTTAGCAGTGGCACCGTGTTGCCTCTTTGCAAATTTACATGGAAACAGTGTAGCTTTGGTGTGAAATAGAAGTATAAGCTTTTGTGCAATATGTTTATTTGTATATGCATATGAAGCATATTTAACTGATGAAAACATAAACTGTTTTTAAATTGGATGTTTGCATCAATCTCATAGTAGTCTTATTTTAATTTTGAGTCATTTTGCAGTTTTTATACAGCTAAATAGCACATAAATTACCTAATTCACGTAGATATATCAATATTGCTTCAACATTTCGTTTAAAACGCAAGATTTCCTGCAAATACATTAGAATTTACAAAAGGAATTTCACTACTATTTGCCTACTTTGCGTACTTTTCTACTACCATTTTTGCACCAAGAGATTTCATTATTCCCCTTTCTCCGTCCTTCGGAAATGCAACCTTTTGTAAGAGAGTGTCAAACCGCAGCTGTCAATAATTATCTAACCTTGTATTATTGAATAATGTGCCATACCTAAACAAAGTCTTTGGGTGTAGTGTTTTCTGACGCCTTGCGTTAACGTCGAAGTGCCGTGCCTAAACAAGAGCGGTAACGCACGTTAAATGCAGAACCAGCAATAAGCATAGGTTTGTTTGTGTGAAATACCAAAATGAAAATTTCGGCATTTTCTGCAGCCAATTTCACACCCTAACGCCCTGTAAAAATCGGCTTTTCCAACCACTTGGCGCTGACGCTGCGTTATTTCGGTGCTTTATACAAATTGCATAGGTATGAGAACTTTTTTCAACGCAGACGCTCTTGTTTAGGTGAGGCAGTTAGTAAACTTACGTTCTTAAATCTACGGTTTACGTCATTAAATCCACGATTTACGTTCTTTGGAAGCCTGCCGATTAATCGATTACTAATTTCATATGTTTGTCATGTTTACCTTTCCGAGTGGATACTGATAACAGGAACGGTAGGTAGTCTTATCTATTTTGTTGTGATATTTTTTCTTTGTATTAAATCCCAACTTCATTTTGCGGCAAGAAGATAAACGTATTAATAAAATGTGGACGATGTTGCCAATGGTGTATGCGATAATTGTTTGAGTATAAGCACAAAAACGTCAACGAATAAGACAACTGCACCAAAAATAAAATGCATATTTTCGTGTGCGATTGAGGCCAAAGATCGAATAAACTTTTTTGTTAAGTTGCAATTTAAATCAACTTTATGTACTCAAAGATGCCACCAACTTCCGAATCAGCAACTGCTGGTAACAGCCTACGTAGTCGAGAGCGTGACAAAACGCATATGGTCCAGCAGAGCAACAAATGTTATGAACATCGCGAGCTGCAGGCAACGGCAATGTCTGTCGACTATACGGGGCAATGGGTTTTGTTGGCGGGGCGACGCCACTTAGCACTGCAACGACTCGGACACGATGATGGTACACTACGAGAATTTCAAAGGAATTCAAAATATGAAGTGTCGGCAGCGGAATTCGCTACGCTACCAAATCGGCAGGAGTATTGTGCTATAGCGGCAAGTATTATGCGTACACATTTTTTAGATATTATTTTCATTTAGTATTGCTATCTTGCAGACAAGTGAACACATTGACGTCGTAACATGGGGTGCAGCAGACATGCAGCACTACCATTCGTTGCGCGGCCACACACGTATCGTTACCGATATCGATTGGCATAGTAAGAATAGTAATCTGCTGGTGAGCTGTTCAATTGACACATTTTCACACATTTGGGATTTACGGGATCCACGCAAGCCAACTTTATCATTGAATGCAGTATGCATGTGTAAGTTTCGGTGTGCAAATGTAGATAAGTTATATATTTATTTCTATTATATATTACTTCATTAGCCGGCGCAACACAAGTGGGATTTAACCGCGTATCAGGTAATTTATTGGCAGCCGCACATGATGGTGATTTACGTATTTGGGATATGCGCAAGGGTTCATGCCCAGTACATTATATAACCGCACATTTGAATAGGTATGAATTAAAAGCGTGTGTCAATATATGAAAAGGACTAACATATTTTAATTGTAGAGTACATGGCATTAACTGGAGTCATTTGCGTGAAACATGTCTGGCTACGGCGAGTCAAGATGGCACAGTAAAATATTTCGATGTGAATAATCCGCGGCGCGCAGAGAAAATAATTACAATGACCTCACCCGTGTGGCGAGCGCGTTATACGGTATATAAATTTTATTTTGTACTTAAAATTCATAACTATGTATGTATGCGTTACTTATTCTTACAGCCCATTGGCAATGGATTGGTTAGCATTGTGGTGCCTGCAATGGGACGCGGTGAGAATAGTTTGCTATTGTGGAGCAATAGTAAACAAACAGATCCGGTTTGCTCATTTGTGGGACACACTGATGTTATACTTGATTTTGAATGGCGACCAAATCGAGAAAACACTTCCGAGATTGTAAGTCTACATCCAGTCATCTTCGGATATTAAAAATGCTGTAAAGCGCAGATATCATTGTTTTCTATTATTTTGGTAAACGTTTTACAAAGTGCCACTTTTTTTAATGCATACAGGAGGTAGTTACTTGGTCACGTGATCGTAGTTTGCGTGTATGGAAGATCGATGACACGATGCTCAAACTCTGCGAGCCCGATTTCGATGGCGATGAAGTATGCGACACGCCGGATTCTTTTGCAGAAACTACTACTAAATTTCAGCCAACACACTCGTCGTCTTTATATCAGCCCACTTTAAGCTTGACACGCGCTGGCGCCGCATCGCTGCCCACAGAAACATCTGATAGCCTAACAATACCCACTATATCGCGTTCGCCTCCCCCGCCAATGCGTAAGGAAGAAACACATATAGCTCGTTCGCTTACTGATCAGCCAACTTGTTCGCTGCATCATGAGTTCTCGCTACTTAATAGGAATATGCCGCATGTAGAGGTGGACATATTGGATGCTATAAAACGTTATGCGGTCTTTAAGATCTCAGCGGGCGGTCATGTGGTGGTATTACAGGTAAGTGAACAGACCACATTTGTGCTTTTGACTAGGGCTTACATTTTTGCACATAGACCATCTTCCCAACTGAGTATCCCAGTCCCAATATCGGGCCTGAATTCACTTTTTGCGATGGCACTACACTTCACGAACAACTATCTACAATTTTGCTCAAGACACTTAAAACGAACGCTTTACAACGCGTTAAAAAATCGCGCACATGTTTGGAACAATGCCTACGTGCCTTAGTGGGCGCCATGAAGAAGGTACGCAATATTGCCTAATATATATTTTTTGTGCTAATATTAGTCTATTCCTTGCATGTAGTCGGTTGGTAGCGTTACAGATAAATCTCAACTGCGTTTACAATCACCGCGGCTAGAAGGCGCCTTAAGCGGTGCTTTACACGATGCCTGTATTCCCTATCCGCGCACTTCAGGCGTCAAATTCAATGCTACCGGCCTATTGGTCGCTTTTGCGCAGGCGCCGCATTCGAAACGCTTAACACTGCGTCATCAAAACTCAACACCACGCACATTTTCAGCGATTAGTGGTGGTGTGCTGCTCGGTAATGTACTCTATACACATCGCGATTCAAATGCATCCTTCTATTTGCAAGATCGCATGAGCGTCAAACACTCGAAAAGTCGTTCAATGCAAAAACAAACTAATGCAACACCGATTGTGAATATTTATGAAGCCTGCAAATTGTTGAATATCAATTATGAAATGGCAAAGGAATTTTCGTTGGACAAGCGAGATTTGCGTGCAACTTGTCGTCGCAATCGGCAGGTATGCGAAACATATGGCCGTTATGATTTGGTGCCGATTTGGACGCTGGCTGAGCTGATAGCCACACCAAATATACCAAATGAAACGAAATATGAGACGCTTTTTTATAAAGATCCATTTAAGAAATTCCTGCTTGAGGCATTAATAATGCACTTTGCTGGTGCGGGTGATTTGCAGACGGCTGTAATGTTGGCATGTCTCTTTCACAAATGCCCTTCAATGTCAGGAGATTTTGGTGAATTCATGACACCGACCAGTCCCCATGGTTTCCAACATAACAAACTGCAGCAACTCTCGCACAACACGTCACCTTATCACACCGTTTTGCCAATCGATTATCATGCTTCACATCCGAAATGCAGCACAGCACTGGCTGTCAATGTGCATTTGAAGCAGTTGCGTAGCAACTCTTGGTCGGATTCGCTAGACTGGGTGGACTCGAAGCATTGCAACTCGGATTCATATTCCTGTTCGCTAATCAGGCGTACCAAAATGCCACTATTCGATCACTTCAAGAAGGTGTATGCGGACATATTGTTCGGTTGGCAGTTGCTGACCAAACGTGCACTGGTAAAATATAAAATATAGTTTGCGCGATTTACATTCATACTTAAATTCTCCCCGTTAGATTTTAAAACACACAATGTTTTCACAAACGCAGCCGCATGGTGTGGAATTTGTTACCGAGTGCCCTGGCTGCAATAAAATAAAGCGTACGCCCTCGTGCACCAGCTGCCAGCGACCAGTTCTTTTCTGCCAGCTATGTAACCTGCCAGTGAAAGGCGAAGCCAATGCGTGTCTGGCTTGTGGACATGGTGGTCATATGGCCCATATGATGCAGTGGTTTAAGGTGCATGAAGATGCCTATATTTATAACTGTTCTTTAATGTTAAATGGTGTATTTTTGTATATTTTTACAGAAACATAACATTTGTGCATCCGGCTGTGGATGTCACTGCTTGAAACAAACAGCAGCACTGTTGGAGCTCATGAATTAATTGAGTTTATCTTATTTATTACAACAATGTTCTTTATTTTGAGCAAAAAGTTTTTAAATGACATTAGGATTTGGTTCAGATACGTTCAATGGCTTCAAAAGGACAGCGACAAGTCAAAAGCGGACTATTTCATATCTAAATCCGTTTATGACTTGCAAAAATTTATGTTTTCTTAGGTTTGCGTAACTTTAGTATATCAGTTTTGATAAAAATAAAATTATATTAAAAAACGAAATAAATGTCTTTTATTCATCCATCCTCAAAAAATCGAATAAAAGAATTTGATAATCCTGGCTAGTGTAAAAATATAAATACATATATTGATAAAAGTGTGCAAGATTTTTTAATAACGAATTTTTCAATAAAATAAAAAACAAATCAAATATATAGTGCAGGGTTGCCACACTCATAAGAAGGGTTGCCAGATTAATTACCAAATAAAATAAATCTGAGTTAAAACGAATTCTAAGAAGAACCTCAAGCAAAACGTCTTAAAGTGTTGCTATATCGATTTTGGGTCAGCAAGAAATAAGAAAAAAATTTCTAAAATGAAAATTAGCCAAACACATACATACATATGTATGTATGTACATGTGTTAGCATTTTACATGGGTAATGTTTAGTTATTTACCCAGTGTTTTTGGGTTAGTGGGCAAACGGTCAGATGGCGTGACTCTTGATACCGCGCCCACTAGAATAGCATAGTTAAAACTTTGTAAAAAGCAATAACTGCCCCCTCGGGTCGTTCCACAGGCCTTTGAGAGCTATTTGTAAATGGGGTAAAATTACCTTCGCCTTCGGCACCGCTTAGAAAAAATAGCCCTCATCAGTTCAACTACGCGGCTACGCTGACCACAGTATTTTTGTGCAGAACGCACTACGAAATTCATAAAAAAGTGCATATTTCAAATCGTAATAAATTAGTGCTTTATGTTATAAAATAAAGTTTAGACCCTGGACTATAAGTGTGTGTAATCTTTTTTTTAATCCGATCACCCATTTGCACACAATAACCCGAAGTGATTGGGCAAATAACTAAACAGTACCCTTTTACATTTTTAGTTCTTTTAACAGGGTTGCTAGATTTATTTTTCAATTCAATTTTTTTTAGTTTTGTAACGTTTAACTGCAGTCGTCGAAGCAATTTATGTGAAAAATAATTTTTGGTCAGTTTCCATATTAAACTTAAATATAAAAAAATAATTTTGCACTTAAATTGCTTTCGTAAAACTGGCTATAATAAAAAATTCATAAATAAAATTTAGAACTACCAAACAGCAGACATTTTTAAAAGGCATGAATTCTTTAATAAAGAGTTGGCACTTCGGTTTCCAAAAACAAAAAAATTCTTTAATTGATAGGTTATTTGCATTGTTGATTTCTTTAATAGTTTAAATTTTAGAAAGACTATTTATTAAATTAAGATGTCACAACCATTGATTAAATGAACCATAGAAAAAATTAAATTTAGAGAATTTCACAAAAATGAATAGCAAAATACAAAGTTTTCTAGAAAAATGGCCTAGAAAATCAAATGAAAAGTATTAGAAAAATCAGATTTTTTTCGTTGAGTTTCAATAAAAAAAAATAGGGCAATGTTTTTTTAAGTTGTTTACTGTAATTTTATTTCACATTAATGTTGAAGGTATTTTTTTGCACTAAATGCCTCTTATAAATTAAAATAGAATTTAGTTATTTGTACAGTTGTGAGATAAAATTTGGCATCAGATAGCTTTTTTTTTTATTGGAACAAATGCTTCAATAGTGTTCTAAAGTATACAAAATACTTATTCTTAGTTAAAAAAGATCACAAATATAAAGTACGTACCCGAAGAATTTAAAGTAAATATTTGATTTAATGCATACATACATTGATAGTGGGTTTTTCTTGCTCCATAGCGACCGCTTTTTAAGCTCCTTTAAATTCTTTTAGGTTAGGAAAAAATTCTGCTTTTAATGCATTTGAATAATCGAAATAATCTAAGTATCAAATGTATAAGGAACTTTTCATGTTGTTGCTGTAATTAAATTTTGTGAACTACTAAAGCTAAGCAAATACCTTTGGTATGAAAAAGTTTAAGTTAATGACCGAAATAGAGATGCGCGCGGGATATCGGGATCCACGTTAATCAGTGATTACCCGATTTGTACATTTGGCAGTTACAGCGTGGTGCTATGTAGAAATTTGTATCGAGAATGAGTTCAGCTCAATAAAAAAACGCCACTTTTGTAACTATTATTGTTTTTCAAAACGACCGGGACGGCCGGTATCGTGAAGGTATTCAAAAATCCATTCCCAATACTCTCGATGAAACCTGCAACTTGCGAAAATCTTCTTTAAAAACGTTGTTTGAAAAAAAAAAACACTTTTTTATATTTTATAATGACTTTCAGTGCGACGGAAGTAATAAATTTGATTGCTATATGAATTTTACATAGTAATAACTAGATAACGGGACACATGGTATTTTTCTGAAATCGTCAGAATAACCGGGTTGGGAACAAAAAATTGACACCCCTATTCGATATTGTGAATGTGGATTTATCGTTCATAAGCGACTGTGAATAGATTTCGGTCGCTCATCCTTCTACAACTGTTTGTTTGCGGAAGGATGAGCGACTTTAGTCGTGAACTAGACCCGAAATGGCCCAGAACTAGTACCCGAAACGGTCGAAATAGTTATGTAATTTTTCCGGAATGATCACGATCAAGTCTTGCAACGGTCCCGAAATGGTCCCTTATTAGTTCTAAAATGATTGCGAACTAGTTCCAAAATTGTCCCAGCATTCTGAACTGGTCCCAAAATCATACCGTACTAGGGCCTAAATGTTCCGGAAATAGTCATGACCTAATCTCGAGCTGGTATACATAGAACTTATTCCAGAATGGTCAACTATCCTGAAACCTCCCTAAGTTAGTCAAGAAATTTTCATTAGATTCACGCAAATCTTACACATACCGAGAGCTAAATGTTTCCCATTGAATGCTAATTAAAAGTGCGAAATTTTCTAAAAAAAAAAAGCAAGTCCATGAGCATTATATTCTAATTACTAATTTTTCACAATGCCTCTCTATTATCTTACCTTTGTCTATCTTTTGGAGTTTCCTTTTTTTATCTTTTTCTCTGCTGTTTCTCTCTATTTAGAGACGTCACACAACTCACTAGAAGTTTTTTTTTATAATCGAAATTAGGTTCAATGAATCTTATAGACAACGTGAAAAATGCAACATTATTTATGGACTTTGGAAGAAATTTTCGGTAATTACATTATTTAAACGACTTTAAGCCAAATATTATTGACTCAAAAGATACTTAAATAATTAGTGGCCCTTGTGCGGTCTCATGAGCCGTCAGTGTTGTTTCTTTCTAATTATTTTAAAGCTTACTTTGGGCTTAAGCTCATTTCTTACTCTACTCAGGCAAATGGAACACTCGCCAGCATATTTGTAGTTGCTTCATTATCCTCATCACTAGCATTTTGATCGAGCTTCTCAAAACCTCCACGCTTACCACGATCCAATAGTAGGCCGCCTAATTTAAATCCCTCTGGCTTGGAAGGAAAGTCCCAAGCATGACGACGATTCTTCACACCGAACGGCAGGCAACCTATAAATATATGCATACAGAAATTTGGAAGAATCAAGCAAAGAGTTTTGTTTTGGCGCTTAGAGAGCTACAATACCACAACATCGTTATAGAAACTTTTTTAACTGAAAAAAAAAAATAAGAAAATGTGCAAGCAATATTTTATGAGGCGATGCCTTGTAAAGATGCGATAATAACTAAATAACGTTAAAGCAATATAATGTAAAAGAAAAAAGGAAAAACAGAAATGTAATTAAAGTACACTTTTTATTTTTTTTATTTGTACAAAGACATGCTAAAATTAAACGATCGTGACACATAATATAAATGTATGTAAAGTAGTATAAAATTTTGCATAGGCTACGAACTTAGGTTTCGTGTAAAACATATAGAAGTAAGTACAAGTAATTACTAAACATTTTTTATCATTATGACAAATAATTACTTAATAATTCTTAATAAACCGATTAATGCGCTACAAAAAATATAAAAATTGTCTAAAGCGGACAGTTATACTTATATAAACAAAAACATATAAAGAGATTTGCATTGAAAAATATATATTAAAGAAATAGAGAATCAAAAACTACAAAAAAATACATACTACATACATACTGTTTAAATATGTAAATTTGTATATGAAAAAAAATAAAATTAAACCACAGGAAATGTAAAATTACACATAAATGCATATAATCTCGTCTCATGGACACTCTTCACAAACATTTTGACTGGAAGCGACCAGTTTGCGGTATACCAATTCACTAGGTGGGCCAATACTTAACGATTCGTTACCTCGTTTTCGTCGACGTGCAATAATAAATGCCAATGCGAACGTTAAGGTGGCAAAGAGTATCATTAAAGATGCTACAAGTATAGCTGTGCCACCGGGATGATGCGGTTTCGTTGACGACGAGGACATCGTAGCATCATGCATAGTGGTGGTATCATTATGTGTTCTTTTTACAACAGCTTCATCCACCTGATACTCCGGACCGGTGTGGCTCAAAGTGTTACTGCTGCTGCTGGAAAGTGTTTTAGCTGCTGACAGCGGCATCGATTTGGCAACAGTTTTATGCAGAAATTTATGTATACGCTTTGGATCTAACTCAGCGACATAGATTTCATTGCCATCTTTGGTTACGACCACATCGTGTGGATTTGAAAATTGCATGTCATTGGGACCGAATTTCGATACCACTTGCTTAGTGCGCATGTTCATTACGTAGCCACGAACTTCATTATAATGCTGTACTTTGACCCCCAATTCAGCGATGGGTCCATTAACAATTACAAGTTCGCCGCCTGTAAATAACATAATTAACTTTTTATTTGCAATGACAATTAAAATTATTCTTTCACTACCTTCTGCAGGTGTATAATCCATGCTGAATAAACGATCGCCAATAATTTGATTATGATATTGCGAATGGAATGTACCGTTAGTCCAAAAGAAACACTGCACACGCCCATTTTCACGATCAGCTGCGCAAATCAATTGCTGCTCAGGCACGAGTGTAAGTGCATGTGGAATGGCGAAGTAATTTTTTGGTGCTACTTCAAAGGAAACGCCTGTTACGAAATAAAAATATAAAATAATTAAGTTAAAATTGCATCTCACAATATAAATGTGTAATCAATTTCTTACCAGCGAATGAGTTTTGACCCCAGGATAGAATTTTCTTTCCATTTTTATCATATTTTAAAATTCGAGCATTGCAATAACCATCGCCAACAAAAAAGTCACCATTTTCCAATACTGCAACGGAAGTAGGCTTGCAAAATTTCGAATCACCAACGCCGGGCGTAAACGCGGTACCCAAAGTCAATAGTGGGCGATCGGAAGAACCGCGTGGTCCAAACTTGAAGACTTGATGCAGCGCTACATCAGTAAGCCATACATTATCCTCATGATCGATGGTCAAGCCATGAGGCATGTAGAATCTGAAATTGACAATTTTGATTCATTAAGCCTGGTACTGCAGTAAGTAAATTTTAGATGTTAACAACATACGTACTTTGATTTCAGTTTAATATAAATAACTTACAAGTTTTTCCCCCAGCCATAGACCACTTCCCCGGTTTTACGTTCCAATGCCAGGACAGTGTTGTCTCGAATGGGCCCCTTCTTTCGTTGTTTAAAAACATTTCCGATGAACGTATATCCATCCCAAATACGATCTACACGATGAAATATAACTACATTTCCGTCTTTGTCAAAACTAACTGCGGTTACAGATCCTAATTTAAGATCTGCACTTGGCCATGAACTTTGATATACATAAGCTGCAAAAGGGGTAATATTCTATAAGAATACAAATTATACAAAACATGATATCTTACTTGTATTCAATTTTTCTATTTCAGCCTTTACATCGATCTTGTCTGTTTTCAATTTGGGTGGCTGCGGCCACGTTATATCTGCAGAGCCGCCACCTTGCATGATCTGTTGAAAGCGCTTATTTGTGCTCAAGACCGTATCGTCAGCAGGCAGAGGCAAATAGCGCTACAATGCATGGCATTTAAAATTAAAGCAATAGGTGTAAATATAAATGTGAAAATATATCCCAAGACATTCATAAATAACTCATAGTAAAGCTAGAAATCAATAAACTTATCAGCGCCGGAGTATGTTAAAAATAAATAAAGAAGCGCAACAGTAAATTCTCCGCCCTTCACCATTCATATTGAAGTACGACACCACACATACGCTGCTACATACATCGTGGTAAGTACAAATATGTATGTACTTTACATGAGGCAAACATATGCCAGCAATACATAAGTAATCCAATCCCAATTTTAAGCATTGCTTTCTGACCCCATATCGGCAATTGGAAATGCTTACCTCATCGCTCGCAGATTCGGCTATGCAAAATGCCAAAAATACCAAAGACGCACAGCAGGCAGACAGCACAAAATGTGAAGTATTCATTTCAGCCACGTCCTCGGCGCACTTAGTAGTCAATAAATTAAGTGTTTTAGATGATTTAACTTGGTTTGCTTGGTGCTTGTTTTATAGCGAGATTTACAGTGGTTAATATTTTCGTTATTTTACATTATTAATTTATAAATAATTTAATAAATGCGTTTGGGGAAAAACCCACTCTTCCATAAATAAATCAAAGCAGTCTAATTATGACACTAGAGAGCAAACGATACCAGCGAGTACAGGTAAATACTCGATACTTTTGTTGCGATGCGAAGTATTTTTTTACTCGATGCTTTTCAATCCGATACCAAGTAAGTGCCGATACTTTACTTTCGATATATTGAGAACACTACTGATAAACTTTTTGTTTTTGAATGCAGTTGGTATAAGAGAATGCTGGCTTCAACTTGCTACGGCAACTCTATTATTAGCATTCATGCAATAATCTTCATTCAAATACTTAATTACTTCTCGCAGCAAATATTGTAAAGTAATTTTATTGCAAGAAAGATCTAGTCAGCCTGATGAACTAACAATCTATTTATCTGCGCTTTTATCATCAATGAAAAAAAAAACTTTTGGAAGAGTGTGCGGTTATATGAAAGCTCGGTTATTTTTAATAGTTGTTGCATCATCAGTTCCTTGTGAAAAATAGTGCCCTTGTACTAAATTATTTTCACTTGTACTAAATTAATTATTATTATTTGTTTAATTGTAATGATGGGAAATACACTCATGAGTGACAGAATACAAGATTGCACCGTTCTGGCGGTGGAGACGTTAGCTAAGTAAAAGTAAATAAAGCAGGATAGGAGAATAAAAGAAACTGATAAAACAGTAAACTTTCTTGACATTCAACTTTTCGATAACAAAAGTAATTTTGTGTTAAATAATAATAATGTATGATTTATAAGAGAATAAATAACTAAATAAAGAAAAAATAAAAACGCCGCGGTTTTGGTACATCGCGTAATGCACCAATTTTTAATTTAGTATAAAAAAATAAATATAATTGGAGTAGAAATATTCGATACCGAGTAAGTATCGATGATTCTCATCCGATTCTTAAAAGTATCGATACCTTATCGGTATCGTTTGAGCCTAGATGGCACTGATTGTCGAGACATAATGTCGATACACACGTATGATTAGCGTTGCCACATTATAGAAGTAGTCGATATTTCGTCGTCTCAGAAAACGGATGTCGAATGGTACAAAACACGGTTTTGAGAAAATTGACTTTGAAGTTTAAGGTCGAATTAATCCGAAACTGTACGGTACATTTTTGTAACTTTTGAAGGAGACGTAGTTGGTGTTATTAGTTTTGATTTTCCATATTTTTACATTTAATATCTCTTAACGTTAATGAGAAAATTTACTTTTCATTCCGTATACATTTGTCGTAAGTAGCGATTACTCACCACTTTGTTTTGTCCACAGAACATACGACAATAGTAAAGTATCTATTTCAACGACGATGGTATAATTTGATGAAAAAAACAGACATATTTATTAAATAATGATTACTTATTAGAAAAAACATAACAAAAACATAATCATGTATTTAATAAAAAAAATCTGTACATCTCTTATGCTGTAAATATGTTACGAACATACGTTTTCTTTATATAAAAACAAAAAACAATACTTAAATTCAGTCTTTTGTACATTTTTATCTCTTTCATTTCATTGGAGACTCAGTGCAAGCTAAAATTTAAAAATTTAAAATTTTAAAATTAGTTACTTAGTTTAATTTTCAATTTTAATTGTATCGTTATAGTAGAGGACCATCCAATTGTCGTAAGTTCAAAGTTTTGCGATACATACGACAAATGTTTTATGATTAAAAAAAGATTACATTTGTATGGGAATTTGTCGTATGTGCCACATACGACAAACGTTTTATGATTAAAAAAAAGGTACGTTTGTATGGGAATTTGTCGTATGTGACGCATTTTCAGCACATACAACAAAAGGCATACCCAATCATTAATATTATGTAACATACGACAAAATGCGCACGAAATATCTCAAAAACTAATGGAGATATAAAAAAATGGATTGCAGAAATCGAAAGAGCATGTCCAACTTAGTAAATCTGCATCAAAATCCCAAAATCGTCATTTTGCACATTCGTCATCCGTTTTCTGAGGCGACGATAACTCGTAAATTGCAGACGATAGTAATGAAATTGTTCGATAATTTTTGGAAATTTTACAAAGTTGTTGCAAATTATTGCGTTTTACCATTCACATACCCGAAAAACTTGCAATGTTGGGGAAACTGAAAGAACAAAATAACATTTAATTTTCAGGGGAAGCTAAAAATCCCTGCTGCAAAAAAATTTTACTGATCTAAACTAGCAAATTTTATAATGCTAGTTTACAATGAAAACTGGAATAGGGTAATTAAGATTTCAGCTTGCTGCATTTTAATTTATTTTGGTATATACATACATATAAGGAAAATTATGGTACAATCGAAAAATGTCATACGGCAACCATAGTCAACACACTCTAAGGCTGAATTTCTTTATTCATTCTGAACGTTTGGAATAAACTTTTTTGTTTACTTATTCTTTAGAACGTTCCTGATGATATGTTAACGTATATTTCAAACGTATTCTGTTTATTCCGGCTGTGAAATGGGATTATCCGGAATGTATAAAGAAACGCAGCCTAAAGTAAACAAACTGGATATTAGGGGTCTTCATCTAAAGTGATAAAGGGATAAATTGCTTAAACTTATCAGTTTATCCGCATTCTTTCATGAACGTACCTTGGTAAATAATTGCCACAAAATTGTAAACTTAAAAAACGCTGTGCTTAATACATTTACTCACTTTTTCATTGTTAGTAATAAAATTTGCAATAAATATTTCAAAAAGGCCGTATTTTCTTTTCTTTATTCACGAACAGGTGTTTGTGATCAGCTGATTTTTATACTTGCAAGTTTCCGCAAGTAAAAATTTTTCCAACATAAATTTGCAGCTCTCTATCACGTTTTGTTCTCTCAATTTGTGCAAAATCCTGTAAAAATGTCAAACACTAAAATTAATCCATGAAGTGGGAGTTAAAAGTGAGTAACAACCAAGAAGTATGTTGATTGCTAGCGATGTAAATTAAATCGCATACGAAACGGTAATATTTACGGTTATAATTTAATATTTTTCGCTGTAAACTTGACTACGTACACTTTTTGTTACATTTTTTGTAACAGCTGACCGCTCGACACTTTTCAAGATTTTACCAGAAGAAAAAGTTCGAGTAAATTCTTGAAACTTCATTCTCTACATAACTCTCCGAAAATCGCTCTCATTTACAGCACTTTGGAGGACGGGAATTCTTTTCCTGTAACTTCTTGCAAGTTCGTGTAAAAACGTGTAAATTCATGGAGTTGTGGCACACAGTTGCATTTTTATCAAAAATTATTTGAATAAACCAGTTCGTTAAAGTTAAAAATTTACAATCNGACATACATTTACATTAAACAATAGAAATCGCAAAAATTAGTAAATAAAATACTCCCTTTGTTTTGTTTTGTTGTCAAATTTCTAAGAAATGTGAATTCACCACGATGCGATACAGAAAGAACAAGGACCAGGGATGTAATTTTAAGTACATCTATTATTCAGAGGCAATGCGCAGAGCGTTCGGGGCAGCAATATTAATTTGTATCAAATATAACATTAAATGGTGGTTCTAATACATTTTTTGATATTATTAACCAGTGTACATACATTATATGGTATTTATTTCAAAAATTTATGTACTATATGAACATTTTTTTCAAACATTTCTTAAGATTCTTTCAAGAGTGCTGAAAAGCAACCATGCGTGTAAGAAATTGTGTACTACCTAAAATTTCACCTCTGCAAACTTTATCCCCATAAAGGACTTCACCACAGTTTTTTTACTGGATATACTGAGGCGCTACCATTTCACAGAGACTGAGTGAGTGAGCTTCACACGAAAAAGATTCATTGGAAATTTTTTTAGCCGCAGGCTGATTACTACGTTTATACGTAAGCTATTTGTAAATAAAAATAATTTGCAAATAAATAACTCACTGTTTATTTNCTGTTGCGATTTACTAATGAAAGAAGCAGTTTTGTTTGTTTTTTTTTTTACTTATTTAATTTAGCCAATTCCAATGGTATGAAAGGTAATCTGCTGAAAAAGCTGTATTCGAAATTGGAACGCAGTCGAGACCATGATAAAAATATAGTAAGGTAGAACCGCTGAGAGTCACTTTTAAAATTCTTGACGTTTCCAAACAATTTAATTTTTAAATTTACTCACAAACTCACACACACATTTTCATTTTCTATCTCAAGCAACAACAATTTCGAAGAACTTCAATTTTTTATTTTCACTTTTATATGATTTTAAAATGTTGGCAAACTTCAAAAAAAAATCATGGCCGACAAATTGAGAGAACGGTTCTACCTTGCTATGTTTTTATCATGGTCGGAACTATTGTCGATATAGGAAATCCCCACAGTGACGCGTAGTATGTTGAATAAATTCAGAATAAGAAGCGAGGCGGCCGACGTGTTGTAGTGGTTAGCAGTGTGNTTGCAAATAAATAACTCACTGTTTATTTGATGATGAAAAATTCTTTTTTAATATTGCCTGATTATAAAAAGGCAATAATATGACCATCGTATAAGAAAATAAAGTTAAAAATGACAACGTCTTGATTATGAAAAGGCAATAAGATGACCATCGAAAAAGAAAATAAACCTAAGAATGGCGCCGTCTTGCGCTTATTTGCAAATAGTACCACTAATTATTTGCAAATAAAAAGTTAACTCATCACAGTTAAATTTTACCATTTTGCAAATTGTTATTTGCAAATAATACGCGCGTATAAACGTAGTATATGTTTGAAATCTGCGGGTAAAATTTCTGTCAACATCTGTCTTCTCATTTACCAGACAACCGAGTATGGGAACGATTTCTGGTAAATGCTGGCAAACACTTGCAACTTCTGGCGAGTTTAATGAAGTACGCAACTATTGATGATGACAATACACCCTTGCAATTACTATTCCACTTTCCGTTGACGATGCATGATTTGCATTATAAGTCCGCCAAATTTAAATTGATCAATTAAATCACGTATTAAATTTATGTATTTAGTATGTTTTATTTCAATACACTTTTTTTCGTTTTCGTTAACATTTTAACTTTAATGTTTTTTATAAG